GCCCCTGCCCTACGAGCAGCTGGCCCACTTCTGCCGCCGCCCCCGCGCCGCGCCGCCCCCGTCGCCGCCCCCACCCCCGCCGGTGAGTGCCCCCCTGCCGCACGGGCTCGCACACAGATGGACGGACAGACACGGACACAGGCGCACCACCCCCCTATAAACCAGGGCTGTAGGATTGCTGTCTGGGTGGGGCAGAGGCCCCTGGGGCCTGTTGCATCTATTGCATGATTCTGTTGGTGACTCGCCCCCTAAATGCAGATCGTCTCCTGATGCAAAGCTGTTATCCCACCCACCGTAGGACTCTCCAGCTTATGCCAAGAGCCGCCTTGCCTGCTGTCAAGTTAGTGCTTAGAAATGGGTCATGAATCTTAGACCGAGCTTGGTTTCTATCTGACTTTTGTTTGAATGTGTAGGAGGGCCCTGGAGACTAGTGCTGTCAGGTCTTGCAAGATTTTCATGACTTGGCGGTTGCTTTGTCCGAGGTAATCGCTCTCCAGGGCTGAGGCAAAGGAAGGGGCTTGGATCCTGAAGAAATTTGGGATGAACAAGCCCAGAGGCTTGACTCTCCTGTGCTCTGCTCCTCTTCCTTCCAGGGTGCTGGCACCTGTCAGAGGCCCAGCTGCCTTGTGCTGCTCTGAGAGCAGCACAAGACACAGCACTTAGTGCTGTGTCTTGTATCAAGATGCTCTTCTCCTTTTTCAGATTGTTTCAAGCTTTGTTAGTTAGCAACATAAAACACCCATGGGGTTGTATTTGAGGCATGTCCTATCCTCTGAGGACACTGTGCCCTCAAGAGGATGCAAGAAACTCTTGCTATTTGTGGTTTCAAATATTTGTGGTACACCGAGTATTCACCTTATTACAGTGCAAATGCTGAACCTGCATCTTAAATACACTTACAGGAAACCCTTGGGAGCTCTGTGCTTGCTCCTGCCGCCGCGCTCCCACTGTCACCAGTGCAGCTGTGCCTCTCCCCCCCCCCCCCCCCGGGGGGGGCGCGCGCACGCGCCATTCATGAATGCTATATTTGCGGGTTTTGCTATTAGTGGGGATATCCAGAAAGTATCCCCCACAAATGGCAAGGGTCTCCTGTACTTTTATTAGTAACCCAGATATCTGACCTTGTGAGCTTAACAGCTTTTAATTATAGTGAAATCTCTGCTGCTTTCCCGGAAAAGCCAAGGAAGGCATCCAAACGTCATTGATCTAGAATGGATAGATTTGAATCTTTTATTTGCATCAGTAGTTGAGGTTTTAAAACAAAACATTTTTGCTAGCGAGGATTCATCCCATCTCTCTTTATTTAGTTAGATGGCTTGACATATGCTTTTTTGGATTCTTAATTTTTTTTAATTTAAAAAATGGCAAGTAAAGAATTTCTTTCTTTAATCGTATCAAGCTGCACCAATGAAGGTAAACAAAACATTTTAAAATTTGTTAGTTTAAAAAGACAAGCTGTTGTAACGTGCCTTTTTAAAAGGCTTTCTAATAAATGGAGGAAGTACCTGTAATGACCAGGAACAAATTACTTCAACTCAACATGTCTTTCAGGGTTTTAGAACTAGCAGAATTCTCTCCTCTCATTTCACTTTTTATTCATTAATCAAAAGAGGAAAACAAGCTTTCTAGGTTTATAAATTCTCAACTTCTTTCTTATCTTTGAATTCAACTAACAATCCTGACAAGAAGGGAATCACTTCTCTGTGCCTGCAGGAAAAGCTACTGCTGTTGAAGATGCTTTAGTACTTCAGTATATTCTGGTTAAAGATGCTTAGCCAGTGACTTCCTCCAATTCAGTGTCACTTGGTAGGAAAAATACTGTTTGAACACTTTTCTAAATGACTTAATAGAGTAGAGTAAAGCTAGGCTTTGATATGGGCTGTTATAACTTGAAGTGTATTTTAAAAATAATCCATTTTTAAGAGAATCTAACTGGAAAACCGGTATATTTTTATTTAAAATGGGGGAGGGGGGATATCATTTACCTTAATGCATTTTTCTATTCTGACAAAAAATAATCCACCGTCAGGTCTTCTGGTTCACAACCAGAATTACGCTTTGCGGTTTGAATTAATAGAAAATGTTTCCTTTTTGTCTGCTTAAAAAAAAAAAAAAGCAGTCTTTTGAAAGAACAGATCTAGTAGTGATCCAGATTTTGAATTAGAGAATATTGTAGAATGTGTGTGTTACACAGTAGGTTAGCTGCAGTGCAAAGCAGCTCTTGTCTTTGATATGGCCAGTTCTAAACAAAGCTGCCTGTACTCCCTTTTTTAATAAGAACTTAAACTTTCTGAAGACCCCTAAGAAGTAAGGAGTGGGCATGCTTTTTTTTTTTTTTTTTATTTTCAAACAGACATTAACAAAGATTTCCCGCCACTTGCTCAGAATTACCAAATTCTTCCTTTCAGGTTGAAGATGTGATTAAGAAGCTGCATTCCACAGACTTGGGCAGCAAAAAGTGTCAGCAGGCGTTAGTGGATCTGGAGGGGCTGTTCCAGCACTTGGAAGCCATGTTCCGCCTGACGCTAGTCCCCCGGATCCTTATCCTGCTTGGAGGCAATGCCATGAATCCTAAGGAGCTCTATGAGATCAACTTGGAGGGCATCTGTGTGGGTAATGCTGAGGAGAGCCTGCAAACACCATCCTGTGTTCGTAAGCTCTTCCACTCGCTCTTCCTTGCAGATGTCTTCAGTGAATTACAGGCTCTCCCTGTCATGGGCACCACTGTCATGGTCCAAGGGCATCGTGACTGTGGCACTGACTGGTTTCGACCCAAGCTCAACTACAAAGTGCCAACCCGAGGGAGGAAACTGACTGTCAACTTGTCTTGCAGTGGAGATAGCTGTACAAGTCCTTCTACCCACATGGGAATGACTTCTCCCTGGGAGGACTACATATGGTTCCAGGCACCAGTGACAGTCAAGGGCTTCCATGAATGACTCTTGTTGTACTGCATTTTAGTAGGGCTTTTAATAACTCTCTGGTGCTGCTTTACTTGACTTTTTATCAAATGTAATCGCATATCCTCTCTTGCTTGAAGCCGTTCTCCAGGGCATCTGCTACCTTCTGGCATCTGGACAATGTTCTGTTTTTTGTTTGTTTGGTTTTGTTTTGTTTTTTTTTCAACAATGTCTTAAATTTCTCACTGCTACATTGTCAGAGGCAAATCCCTGTAGAGCACAGTTATGTCCACAGATGAAGGAAGGTGCCAGTTTTCTGGGGAACTGACTTGCAGCAGGTGAAACTGGCTAGTGGGTTAAAGCAACATTAACTCTTCTGCAGCTTACCCACTCAACCAGCCAATACTTGAAGTAGCTGTTTCGGGGAATTTTTTTTCTCCAGGCTTATTGTGGTGCTTATGGAGTGTTCCCTTTCTGCTGGCTGGCAAATCACTGTGCAATGCTAATGGGTGAATCTGGACTTTCATAATCAGTGCTTAGAATGAATGATACAAGGAGGTAAATGCTATAGGTGGTCTTACTAAGCACTCAGGATCTCTTACCTTATAGCAGGGTTGTCAACTCATGGTCTGCAGGGCTGGATGATGATTGCTGGATCAGGACGGACTCCCTGTGCCATGTGCAGGACTTAGTGCCAGGTTCAGCGTGTGCTTTGAGTGCAGCACATGCTGCCCCAGAGCTTGCTGTGCACATGGTGCGTAGGCTGGACCTGGGGCTGCATGCAGCATTGGCGGGGGTGGGGTCTGTGGCACAGGCTGCATGTGGTGTCTTGCTAGACCACCTCTGGAGCCAGCGCACAAGCCAGTCTAGCCTTTGTGCTGCATACAGGGTACGCCCTGGACCAATAGCCTGTGCTGTGTTCTATGCACACCCAGCACTGAGTCCATTTTATGTGCCAAATACAGTATGCAGGGCCAGAGCTGGCACGTGCCCCATGCAGTGCATGCAGTTTGGTCTGGATATCCACGGGCTGAATCATATGGCTCCAAGGGCTGGATCGGGCCCACAGGCCATATGTCTGACACCCCTGTCTTACAGCATGGTCATATTATGAAGGAGAGTAAGGGTTGCTTAGGCATGTCCTGTAAAGTACAAATATACAATGCTGTAAGTTAATTCACTTAACACAAAGGGTGATGTTCCAAATATGGGGGATCATCAACAACAGTTAATGCCTTCTATCCAGCAGTTGATATCATCTTTCTGTACTTCAGAAGAGTTTTCTGACCAGTTTCACATGAACCCACTCAGTCTAGACTCTTAAACTTTCAGACTCAGTCTTATGCTGTTTGATCTAACTGGTGAGAAAATGGAAGTAGGGCAGCAAGATGACATAGCACTGAGCTTCATGTTCTGAGCTTGGAGTAGCCTGTGTTACTCAAAGGAAAATTTTCCTGCTTTCAGAGTTGGTAATGAGACTTGAAGGGAATGTATCCTCTCAGTTCTGCACTGTGGACGTGAATGTAAAACCCATTAAGAAAAGGAACTGTAGATCCAAAGTTCAGATCCAAAGTGCTGATAAAGCTGCTCTAATCCCTTGGTTAAGGGTGATCCTACCTCTGACTTCAGCTTGTTTCTTTTTTTTAATGTGACTGTCTTCACTGTACTTAGCGAGAGACAGTGGCCCTTCAATGGCGAAGTTGTTCCAGGTCTGTCATTAACAGAAGACAAGTAGCTTTTTTTTTTCAAATTTGGCTATTTCGGCCATCTGGAACCTGCAGAGGAGAAGTAACCCATCCATAAATGTGACCCACATCTACCTTGTTTAAGACTTTAGAATAGCATAAATTTAAGTCTAAGCTGGAACAGAGACCTGGACTTGGAAGGTAACTGTGCTCACTCAGTGCTTTCAGCCTGGAGAACAGAAGGTGCCCTGTGAGTGTCAGCAGTGCACTTTAATAATGACAAGTTTGTCAGTCATGCCACAACTGCTGTTATATACAGAACTAGTGGTACGCACTGTAATATACAGCAAGATTCCAAACTGACTTGTATGGAGGCAGAATTTCTATAAACAAGTTGAAAAGCTGCTTTTTGGTGCAGGGCTGCTGAACTTATTGGGGAATATTCCATTATAATGGGCTACACTGTTTGATCTTTGTGGCAGCTCTTTTTTTTTTTTTTCCATATGATGTTTTGCCTCTGTCCAGGAGGAATGGTTTGGGCACATGCCAGGGAGAGCATGTTTGTGCCTTTCCCACTAACTGCTGAGCCTAGTTTTATGGTGGCACAGCTGGATTCCTTCAAGTCGCACTTAAAAATGAAAAACATTCAAAGAGACTTCTATAGATTCTGCCGCACTAGCCTGGAGGAATGGGCAGGAATTTTTCCGTAAACAAAAACAACAGTATTGTTGCATCAAACTGCATTCCTTGCTGTAACTGAAGTTCAAATACATGGGAGTTTTCCCAGTAAAATGCTCCTAGAATGAAATAGGACAACATAAGAGAGAACTTTATTTATGTACAAAAAAAAAAAAATCTAGAGCTTGGTATTTGAATTAATCTGGCATCTAGCAAAAATCAATTGAAAGCTTCAATCAAATGAACAGATTGCGTAAGGTATAAGCAGTGGTGCAGTTGTTTGCCCTGTGTGTATTCATACTCCCATGAATGCTGTCAGTGGCTCACAGACATTCCACCTTTCTCACCAGCTGCTTGATGTCTTCTGCCAGCAGCTTTGGTTCTTCAAAAGCAGCAAAATGTCCCCCACGTGGCGCGTAAGTGTAAGCGACTATATTCTTGAACTTCTTCTTTGCCCAAGTGCATGGTGTGTATGTAAGCTCCTGAGGAAAGACAGCAAGGCCGGTGGGGACATACACTCCAACCCTAAACAGATTCAAGTGTCTGATTAGCAAGTTATTGAGCAGTTCAGATTTGTTTTGAGGTGAGGCATACAAATACTGCCAGCTGGGACTAAATTAGAAATGCACTGCTCTACAGTTCCTGCCATAAGTAATTCTACTGTACTCTCTTTGAAGTGCCTTGTGGCTTCTGAACTTACTATACTGAATGGAGAGGTGGTTCATTTCCTTCAGGCTATGAAATGCTTCTACTGAAATGGGAACATGGCAGGATTGGAGCAGCAGCATCTTGGAAAGCTTGAGACAAGCTTTAGCCTAGAGCAAGGGTGTTCAAACTGGCCCATGGGCCAGATGCAATCTGCGGAGCTGTACTATCCAGCCTGTGGGGCTCCCTACACATCAGAAAGTTTGGGAGTGGGGGGAGCAGTGGCAATACCACCGCTGTCCCCCACTGCCAAATTCCTGAGCCCTGTGGTGGGTTGGAACCAGGACAGAGACCCTCTTCCCTCTGTTCAGCTGGATTAGGGCTAAACTGCCTCCTGCCCCACTTTGCATAGCTAGACGGGGCCCTCTCATGGCCACTCTGAGTGCCAGATTGGGACATCCAGCCCACAGACAGAACAGGTGCTACCTATCTGGCCTGCTGGGTAAAAATCACTACTGGCCTAGAGCACTTAAACTAATCTTGATAATTTACTCTGGCAGGAGGCAAAACCCTCTTGTACAACACTCGCTTTCCTGTGCTGCAGACACCCAAAGTGGATCAGGCACTGGAAGCTGTCTGTCTTTGCTTCCATATGCAAAGTCCCCTATCTCCACACCATGCCACAGACTGCAGTGTAGTCAAAATCTTGGTTGAACTGAATTTCAGGCCCCTATTGGTATTAAACCTAAGCCCCCATCCAAATTTACAAGCATTAATTCCATCCTAAAGAAGTCTCCATTTTATCATTGTTCATATTAGTGATAGTTGTTTGGAAGGGATGGCCCTCCTAAACAGTTTCCTTCAGGGTAGTCAGCTTTGTGCTCAAGAAGAGGACACCAGTTTGGAATTTGGCGTTAGACTCATCCTAGCTTAATTTAAAGTTAAGTGCTTATTACAGAATCTGAGACCAATTCTTTAGGACACTCTTCCCTGTGTTACCTGATGTAGTTTATCAAACAGTAGGTGGCTCCCTTACTGCTTCAATTAAACTGTTGCCCAAAAAAGGAGTGTCTTTGGACTGTCGGGAAGCTCATGGGAGGTAGCCCCAGACTAAAACCATACCTCCAAGAGAAATGTGAAACCATAGGCCTCTATTCTAACCATGTTAAATACAAGACTCCGCAAATTAACTTCTCTTGCTGAGGAAGGACATCTATTTCCACTACCATCCACCTCCAAAAGAAGCTTAAATAATCAGACTTTTTTTCTGCTACATGTTGGAACCAAAGAGAAACCACCACCTGGTTAGTGAGAATTTCACTATAAACTTGGATGATTTTTTTTTTTTTTTTTTAAGAGAGGAAAACTAAGCGATTACAAGAACACCACTGCATAAGAATTTATCTGACACAGAAGGTGGTTTTGTCCATATTTTTACAGTATTATTTAGTCTAGATTCCAAGGCCTTTACCTCCCCCACCTTTTTTTTTTTTAATTTTTATTTATTTTTTACCTGGCATGTGGAGCAGTGGTAGGATTTGTGGAAAAATTCTCCTTGTAGAAACGCATAGAGGGCACAATAGATGAAGTCACCCAGTAAATCATCACATTGGTCAAAAGGTCATCCAGAGAGAATTTTCTATAGAGAGATAAACCAGAGGATCATCATCACTAGCTAAGCTGCTACTGGTTGCAGTGTTGACTATGTACCCTGAAAATGGGAAAGCCCCTCTGTTCTCAGATCATCTTTGAGCTGTGAATTAATCCGTGCCCAGTTGGCTTTAGATTGAGCTGGGAAGCATAGAACAACTGCTCTGCTATCCATTGTAATCTACTACTTGTCCTGTGTGATATTCCTTTATTTAGATTTGATCTCAGTGGCAGATCTCACCTTCCTGAGCTTATCAGGAGGCTTCCTTTTAGTAATCTTTCTTCCTTGCTCTAGTCTGCAGGCATGTCACTCATTTTCATACCTTTCCAGACCTCCGTCATCCAGGTCCCGGAATGATTTATCAGTCCAAGTAGAAAACTTCTCCAGAATGTAGGCAGCAAGTGCTACAGGGGAATCATTTAATCCACAGCCTAATTTAGGAAAGCAACAAAACAGCTTTTATATTCATGTGAGCCTGCCCTACCTCTGCTAAAGCTAAATTGGGTTTCCAAGAAGTCTAAAGTTTCCTAAAGGGATCTAGCAAAGACTTGGGGTACTAATACTCTTGTGCTCTATCAGTCAGGACAGTTTGCTACCGACAGAGCCTATGTTGTCATTCAGAGTCTGTCCCCAGTTTTAATGTAGATGGTCTCTTCAGGAGAAGCCAGGAACCAAGTCAGTCAGTCAGTAATAATTAAATCATTAAAGGGATTATGTTTTAAGGAAGGCAGGAAGCAGCAACAGTGAGACGGAATTCCCAAAAAATCTGAAAGGAAAGATATCCAGGCCCTTTCAAGGTGCTTGGTTGCCTTTTATGGAGGTGGGAGAGTGACAAGGTTGTGCATTTATCCTTCTTTTACCTCTGGTGTGAATCATAAACTTAGCCTTTCTATAGCATGTTGCCTCTTCAGAGTGCATGAATGCAAGGAGGTGAGTATTACCCATCACTTGCAGGTGAGGTAATGGAGAGTGGGAAATAAAGGACTTCTTTACAAAGGGATATTACTGTGTAGTAAGCAAAGGTATGACTGGGCATGTCTACACGTGGCCATATGGCACCGTTACTGTGCCATTGTTTAGTACTTCCTTTTGGAAGTACTAAAAGACAGTGCAGTAATAGCCTGGCGGCGTATGGTTATTTTTGGCTGCTATGTCACTGTAGCAACATGCTATAGTGAGGGAGCACATTACTATGGTAACATAGTGATGGCATTAATTTTTGCCAATGGATCCTACAGTTTGTGTAGCACACTAGCTACTCCTCACGGACTTCCTCTGTGGATGTCTTAGAGTACAGCTTTTGTATGAGCTAGCTTCCAACATAGTGGAAAAAGCTACTTTGCACACTGGCTGCGTCTACATGAGATGCTGACTGCAGTACAAGTCCTAAATAACTACGCAGTAACTCGAGTTACTGTGCAGTAGCACTGGCGAACACCTTTTTCATGACTGCTACACAGTACCATTGCGTTACAGTTGTTTCCACGGGATGCTACTGCACAGTAGTATTGGACTACTGCGCAGTCAGTGTCTCATGTAGACGCACCCACTGAGTATCAACATAAGGAGCTGGTGTGGAGTAGGTGGTATGCTGGAAGTTCACACTGACTGACGACTATAATTTCCCTGTGTAATCAAGTGCTGTGTAATTTGTCCAAGATAACATCATAAATCAGAGGGAGAGCTTGAGCAGTGCTTTAGAGTCCTTGGCACCTAATCCTTTGTTCAGTCAACTAGGATACACTGCTCTTTAAATATGTTAAGAATTTGTTCAACTGTGATTGTTCCCATCGTCTATGTACATTTATTGCTGTACTTACATATCGCATGCATCCACCCAAAAATTAGCCATCCCAAATTAGGGTATGTGTGTTAAGTGAGGAGTCTGATTTCTGTGCTGACATGGGGGCAATGAACTGGTTGTTGGGAGCTGTGCTCCCTTCTTAGAGGTATCACTTATCCTCACCCAATACTGCAGCAGTTGTGACAGGGTTAAATCTTGAGCTGTAGAGCTGTAAGGAGAGGAGGAGTAATACTGGGCCATTAGGGGGCATCAATGAGCTGCTTATTTCTCCATGGTTTACTGCTCTGGGGAAGCTCCTTGGCATGCCTGTACTTGTGCCTGAACCACAGCACATTGAGCCAAGTCAGAGCAGCCCCAGCTGGCAGGGGGCTCTGGGGGATCAGCCTGCCAGGCCAGGGCTGCTCTGACCAGGCTCAATATGCTGCAGAGAGACTGGCTGGGGCACGAAGGTGCTCCAGCATGGGGTTACCTGGCAGACAGCCCTGGCTCTGAAGTACCCTCATGCCCCAACCTGCCCTGTCAGTGCCTACATGTGCTGCTGTGCACAAAAAAATTCTGCAGCAGGGTAGGACTTGTAAATGCCAGTTTATTAGTTTCATGCACCCTGATAGTGGCATATGTGTAGACGCTGAAACATTTACTGCACAGTTAATTAGTCAACTGTGCAGTAAGTGTCTTGTACACGTGTCCACTGAAGAGAAGGCTCCATCCCTCCTGTGTGCAGCCAGCACTTGGCCATGGTGAGCCTGTGCTGTGGCAGGTAAGCATCTGGACAAATCTTTCTTTTTTCATTCTGCCTTCCCAATATAAGGTGCTTGGCTTACGTGGTGGGATGTAGAATGTGAGGGAGTATGGTGTATTGGCCACATGGAGGTGTTACCTGCTGTGTCTGGCTTTGTAGCCTGGATGTGCAAGTAGCCAGACTCTCGTAGGATTTCATACACATTCTTTTCCAAGTATGGAAATAAGCGGTGGGAATCTTCCCTGGTCAGGCCTACAAGCCATGGTACATAGGCCCCAAGGATCAAAGACACCAGTCTCCCCAAACCGCTTGAGCTTATGAAGACCAAATTCAGGTGGAGTCCTTTCACTTGCCTGCAAACAACAATGTTAAGGAACATAATAAGCAGCAGCAATATTAGGTCGATGCTAATTAAGAACAAAAGGGATTCTGTTTCTGTGGCTTCTTTGGAAGTTAGAGATCTGCACTTGGCAGCAACACTGCACCGGGCCACACTGAACTTCCCAAAGGTGTCTCTTTTTCACTGGAGGCAGCTCTTCAAGTACATATATTCCCAACTTTCTCATATGAACACGCCAGATGTAGACTAAGCCTGGTGCAGCTGATACAAACACCATCGCTGCTGTACCAACAGGAGGATGCATGAATGGCAGCAGTCTTTGGCTCCCATTAGACTTGGCTGGCTCAGCTATCACTGTGGAGCCTTTCTGCCTTATACTGAGGCTCTGTAATAACCACCCCACTGTGTACTTTCTGAGAAGCCTATCCTAGCCTACCCATGGCCATGAGGTTCCTTTTGAGACTATCCTGGATGCCAAGTGGACTTCACACAGTCCTAAAATGCAGTGACTTGAGCTTCTTCAGGGCCTTTCCTCTTGATGTGGCCTGCTCAAGTCTAGGGAATGGAGTGCACACTTCACTACATCTCATTATCTAGCTTTTAAAACCATTTTCTAAGACCAACCTATTTCTCCTTTAGCAAGTATGTCCTAAGCCTGTCTTTTAGATAGGTAAGAGATTTATGCCTCAGGCTACAATTCAACTTCTTGACAGTTCCTCATCCATTTCTGAATTTCCTCACTTCCTTTCCTTCCTTATTTGGATTAGAGATTAGAACCTGATTCTGCTTCAGGGCTGCTCTGGACAATAGAGTAGAGGGGTGGCAGTTCATACAGTTAGGACAAACCTGGGAGTGAGCTTGAAGAAATTAGATGCTACTGAAACAGAAAAGGCTGAGAAAATAGTTGATATCAGTGAAGGGAGAATGACTAAATATGAATGCAAAAGAACTTGAGATGCGCAGGAGGCACACAAATGGAATGGAAGAGGTAGGATATGGATAAAGAGCAAACCGGCCTGAAGGAGAAGAGTGCTAAACCAAACTGGAGTTGTAATACATCGTGTGTATTATCTGTTTGCTCTCCTGGTTTGCCATTGCTGGTGTATGCTACGTGCCTTTGGGGTGTAGACACAGCTCACATCTTGCTCTTGCTATGGCCAGCATATGCTTAAAAACAGTCCCCTAGTGTTTGGGTGCCAAATCTCATCTGCTCACAAGCCAAGCCACCTCAAGTTAATGGACATTTTTGAAAAAGGACATTCAGCAATTCTCAACCAGGGTGAAGAAAATCCTGGGGTGCCATGGGTATTATGTGGCTCAGGAAGCGTGTTCCTGCTCTATCTCAAGGGACTGTTTTGCCACCTGCTCTAGAATCCATACCACTGTCTAGCAAGGATCCAGAAGGATAAAGAGAAATATTGTCAAAATCCTCCTGACTTGTGCTCAACTTGAAGCTATAAAAATAGTCTCTGGGCCAGGGCTGCACAGCTCACTTGGCAGAAGTGTGAAGGCTGTTAGTGTCTATCAAATGAAGAAGATGGCAACTATCTGATTCTTTAATACAGGGATGCAGCTTGAAGAAGCTACAGCACGTATTATGTCATAATGCTCCATCAGAGTGGCCTGTCTGCTTGCTGAGATGGGTAATTACTAATCAGCATGGACCTCACCTCTGTGGTTAAAGACTCCATGATTAGCAGCCACACTCTGATCAACACTGTTGCCTATGCAACTTTTTCATTCCAAGCACCCAAAAGTCAGGAAGCAAGGCTCTAAAACCATGAGATTATTTAAAACAAACAAACAAACAAGCCAATAGATTTGGGGCTCTATTTCAATAGCCATCTGGTTTCTGAGTCATGAAGGTGAGAATGTTCCCTCTCACATTAAAATCCTGATCCTGAGTCATGAGAGTCCCAGGGCTGGGAAGCAAATTCTTAATGCTGTAGGATTCAGGAAGAGATTGACAGCACTATGTACTGGGTGGTCACGGAGCTAGAACGCCCAGCTGTCCCCCCCCCTCCTTGTTAACTCACTCTGGCCTCTTGCTGTCCCACCCCACTCTTTGTTAACTCACTTTGCTTGCATTTGAGCCATGTTTGTGGTGATCTGGGAGCCCCAATCTCCCCCCTGGACATAGAACTCCTTGAAGCCCAGCCTTTCCATCAGCTTGTGAAATATCCGGGCAGCAGCCAGAGTGTCAAAGCCTGTGCATAAGGAGAAATGTTTTATTACAAACCTGTTTTCTCTACATTGCCTTCTCCAGCCAGGAATCACTAATACTGAGGGGATGTGTTTGGGCCCTGAACAACACACAAGAACCCTTGTTCTTTCCCATGGTTAGCTGCGTGCAGTACATGGCTACTACTGTACCTACACACTAGTAGGTGGCCAGGGAGCTGGTAATAAGTTAACCTATGGAAGTGATTCTCCAGCAGGGTGCTTTGAGGTCCTTTTAAGAGTGCTGTGGGGTGTTATGCAATGTTAGCCCTGTTAAGCATACAAACATGATTCATAAGATAAACACAGAGATTTCAAACAAGAACCCATAATGTCTGGACATAGACCAGAGGAAACCTATCCTGGTCCAATTTACGCTGTTAGAGTTTTACCCTCATCTTTTCCAGGTTACTCCTGCACTCTGTTGGGTGAAGTTAGCCCAGTTTAGGAGGTTGTGTCATCTGTTTTCTACATTTTCACATGAGTGTGATGCTGATTACACTGATGTAAATGTTGTATCGGTCCAGGCCCTTTGTGTTCTGTTGAGTGATCCCGAGGCTAACACCTGACAATGGTGCTCCCTGTTACCCTTTGCTAATGAGAAGCATCAGGAAGGGATGCAGAAGCACTGTGGGAAGCATGGGGAATGAGGAGGGTGACTTGACTTCCTACTAACCCTGCAATCCAAATTTCCACAGCTGAGTCCAGAGTCTGGTGACCTCAGCCACGTGGATCTTTCCAATATCACTGCAAGGAGCATCTGTCACAGACCAGCTAACTAAATATGTCTAGCAGATGGAGCTGACCCTTTATAACAAAGCAGCTGGCAGAACCTGGAGATGTAAAAGCCAAGAAATAAGACTTCATTGGACTCTCTGCAGTTTCCTCTGGGGTAAAAGACATTGTGGGCACCAGGGAACTGGAAGGGAGGAGACAACATCTGCTTTACTCCTTAGCAGAGAGACAATAGGTCCCAGCTTGTATGTGCTGGTCTCTTGGATCAACATTGTTAGTAAATACTGTAGGCCTGCCTAGTGCTTTTCCACATGCAGTGCAAGACACAGACTTTGCTCTGCAGCCTTTTCACCTTGTTCTTCTGCTACAGTTCATCCAAATTCATTTTTCTCTGCATACCTCCATCCGCTCCCCTCAAATCCCTCCATTGGCTCTCACTCTCCTGCCCCAAGTTCATGTCCTTGGTCTTTCCCTTTAAGGCTCTGCCCAGTCTCCATCCCACCCCTGTTCTCTGCTCCTTTGGTTTCTTTCACTCATCCCTGCATCATCCTTCAGGCCATCATCTCAGTGTGCAAGAACCTTGCTGTTAACCCTTACCCAGCATTCTTCCTCATTTCTTCCAAAGGCCACTGGGAAATTACCTGTTCCTTGATGTGCCCCTGCTATTACAAGTACAGAGATTGAGCAAATTCAGTTAGCTGAATTAGTCTGAAATCAGGCAGAGGGCAGGGTAGAGAGGCACTTTATAGACTAACTGAATCAGAGATGCATAAGCTTTTGTGAGCCATAGCTCACTTTATCAGATGCTAATCGATCATGAAAGCTCATGCATTTCTGATTCAGTTAGATTATAAGGTGCTTCACTACCCTGCCTTCTGCCTAACTACAGATGTTGCCTTGCCTATGTTCTATTGCACACCTGTCCCTCTGGGAAGGGATTTTGGTGTGTTTTTATGCCACTGTACAGCACTGTTTTCACCCGTCCTGCATGAATAAGTATGTTGGTGCAGCGAGAGAAATGCTGACTCGGGGGGATGGTTAATAAGCTATGGAGCCTTTCACTGGGGCAATGATTATCTGGCTCAAGGAACTGGGAACAGACACAAAGCCTTTCACTTTCAAGGCATTTAGTTTTTTGTGAAAAATGAGCTGAAAACTTGCCAGTGGACCCATGTTGACTATGTAAACACCATCATAGATACCTTCAGATCCTCAAATTCATTAGTGAATTTATGGGATGAAATTCACTTCATTAAAGGAACAACTCCCAAAGTTCAGGAACAAGCCCATAGCCAGAGTGTTCCTGGGGTGTCTCTGAGGTAGCCTGGGATTCTAATGACTTTTCTCCCCCTGCTCATTACTCACCTCGTTGGTGAGGTGCCTCAGAGAAGCCATAACCAGGGATGGACGGGCAGATGACCTCAAACACCACGTCCTCATTCAGGCCATGTCCGGCTGGGTCAGTGAGCAGCGGGATGATCTTATAGAACTCAAAGAAGGAGCCAGGCCAGCCATGCACCATTAGCAAAGGCCGGACTATCTGACCCCTGGGGACATGCAGGGGCTTCACATGGATGAAGTGTATGTCGATCCCTGCCAGAAACCCAAGACAGGCTGGTTAATGTTCCACATGCTTCTCAGATCCTGACCTAGACCCTAAAGGTGGAAGGCAAATTCTTAGCCAGTGTTTGCAGCAAAGCCATGCAGAAAGACCCATGGCAGAGGAAGGGAACTGCACAGTTGGAGCTGGGAGAGGATGCCACACATTGCTGTGGGTTTATGTTAGCCCTCTTGAGGGTGAGTGATAAGGCTGCAGCCAATGAGGCTTAGATCCCAGCATGAAAAGGTCATCCTGACTTTGATGACGATGAGGGCTGTGAGCCTGGGGGGACAATGGATATCTCCTTTGCTATATCTAAGTACAATGCTGAGCTCTGCAATGGAAGAAGCTGCTAGGTATCAGGTTCTAGTACAGGGGTGGGCAGTTATTTTGGGCAGAGGGCAGCTTACCGAGTTTTGGCAAGCCATCGAGGGCCGCACGATAGGCAACCCAGGGCAGATAAATATTAATTTTCTACATTTTTTAGGGGCCCCGTGGGTTGGATAGAATGGCCTGGTGGGCCACATCCAGCCCCTGGGTTGCATTTTGCTCACCCCTGTACCTAGTGACTCCTTGCCTCAAAAGTGCCTTTCACAAAGGAAGGCAGATGGAGAAGAAGGGGTGAGGAGAATGGTGGGGGAGCACTATATAAAAGTGAGGAGAAAAAGAAACAGAGGGGGTAGCTTGTGAGTGAGGGGAAGGACACCTTGGGGAAAAGAATGGAGCATTCAGAGGTTAAGGAGCCTCATGTACCTTCAATGGTAGTTTTGAAATGTGGATATTGGTTCAAAATTTCCACTTGTTTCTGCCAGTTAAACTGGTTCCTCCAGTAGGCAACAACTCGCCGCAGGTAGGTGGTATTGAATCCGTACTGGAAGGCAGCCCCCTCCAGTGGGGGCGTGTAGCGGGCCCTGTCCAGGCGCTCGTGCAGGTCCTGCAGAGGAAGAATTCTGTTGTGGGCCATAAGATACTGGCAGAATATATCACATGCCAGGTCTTCCAGCTGCTCTGCTTTCTATGCTACTATGTAATGGCCTAAAGGGCACTGTCTAGGCAGCCACATCACAGAGGACCTCCTGAATTATGAATCCAGTGAAAACGTGTATTACGTATATTACTGGTTAAAGCAGGGAATGGTTGGCAGGACCCCCTAGGTTCTATTCCTGGCTTGAATGCTGACAATACACAATCATGGGCAAATCATTTTCCCATTCTGTGCCTAGGTTTCCTTCTCTGTGCAAAGAGGGAGGTATTTCACTGTCACCCACATTTCATCTTCTCTTTTTAACATGCTTCTGGATTCAGAACATGCTTACACCCTGATGGCAGTGTACCTCAGCTGTGACTTTACCAAACATGCCCTGCCTCACCCCAATCCCCCTTGGACGCTCCAAACCTGGAAGCATACTGGGCAAGATGCTGTGTGTCCTTCTGTGACTACTCTGTCTCCAACATGCTTTTCAGAGGCTGCTGGGAATGAGCCCAGGTCAGTCCCATCAGTGTATTTCCAGGTTTGGAGCATGTGGGTGAGTCAGAGGGCGAGATGTACTCAGGGCTATCCCAGATGGGACATACTGCTGCCCTAGTGGAGATGCACCTTAAGGAAAACGTAGGCCTCTCCGTGCATAGTGCACAAGGGGCATGGAAGCCCAGATTGCCTGAATCTGAATGCCTCGCTGCTGCTCTGGAGGGACAGCCCCTAACGGCAGAAAGCTAAGGCCAGCCTCTGGGGCCCAATACGCAATTAGTGTCTCTGCTCAGGCTGTGAGCAATGGAGATAATGGGTGGCAGATGAAGAGTGGTTTTGTGATCTGGTCGCACAAGCTGCCCACTCACAGCAAATGATAGCAGCTTTTAGTCACTACTGGCTGGGATGAGTGGAAATGGTGACCAAAGAGGTGAAAGTCTCTGAAGCTCAACCCCAGTTACCTGAGCTGTTCTTTACTAGAGAATTAGATTTAGGGTCAGGTATGGACTGTACTTTCTTTTTCCCAGTTCTGCTGACTGTTGGTCCTGACTTATACCACCCACTGCTATTCCGATGCCAGGATTCTAAATTTAGCCCTACAGCTGCCTTCAATTCTGACCTACAGTCCTCACTGCTGTTCCCAAAACCTTGCATGCAACTGCCGCTTAGTGTACCTCAGGCTTCACCACCAGTCCCTTCTATTTCAGGTTTGAGCCTCTCAGCAGCTTCTCTCTCAGGTGGCATGGGGATGTTGTGATCTTGATAAACCACCACTAGCCTGTGATCCAGGTAACTCAGTCAATTTGTGATCCAGTATGGACTGGAACTCATTTCTTTTTCCAGCCCAGTGTTCCTGTATGCATTGGGATGTCAGCCTCAAGCAGACAGATGGATGGACTGATCAGCAATACACCTCTGATTTCTAGGCCCCCAAGCTCCTTCTCCTTGGATACCTTTCCCAGCTCCCTATATCCCAGCCCTGATACCTGGATTTCCCTGTCTGAGGTTTCAATTCGGAAAGGTCGGATGCTCTCATCTTCTTTTTCTTTTGGGGGTCTCTCGCCTGAACCCCACCATCCATCTCCCACCTCTAAGGTCTTGATTTTCTGTCGAGACAGGAGCCAACAAGTCAGGAGCCCTCCAGCTCCCAGGGCTGTGGATACCACAATCGCACTCTGGGGATATTCAAAGGACCTAGAAAGAGACAAAGGTATCACATTTAGTCACCAAAGATTCAGGACCCTAGACTACTCCAGTGCCTTCAGAACAGTGATATCCAAACTTTTGTCCCCATGGGCAAGGTAACTGGTGTCAAGCTGGTCTACGGGCTGGATCTCATGTGGGGCCAGTACATGAGGTTGGGTTCCAACCACCCAGATCTTCCCTTGCACCATCTGGATCCAGATCCAGCCATGCACTCAGGGTTTGAATTATGGGGGAGCTTGGGTGGGAGGGCTGAGCCCCTCCATAAGGGATGAGAGCCCCCCATAAGAAACAAGAGCCCCGCTGTGGGCCGGTCAGCACCCCTTCCCTCCTTCTCAACAGCCCGGAGGCCATGTGCCATGGTACACAGTCCCTGGCCCACCCTGTGCCTTTCTAAGCAGCCCAGGTGGTGGTGGTGGTGGCTCCTCCTGGTTGCCGCTGCTGCTGGCCCCAGCCCTGTAGTACTGGCGGGGACTCATGCACACAGCCCCGATCCTGACGAATATTTTTTGCAGACCCCCACAAGAGTCTAAGTGTAATTTGAACCCTGCCTGCACTGCCCAGATCTGGCCTCGTGCCACTCAGTTTGGGACCTGTGTGCCCAGATCTTGCCTCACGTTGCCCAGATTAGTCTCTGCATGCACAGATTCCACTTTGCACCACTTTCCATCACTGTGACCCATGTGTCTAGTCTAGTGTGCAGGGCCACACTGTCTGCCTATAGGGCTCTCCAGGGGTGTGGAAATTTGGCAGCTGGGGAGTAGCAATTAATGCTGACATCGTTCCCCTATCAACAATTTTTTGGCCCCATGAAGAGCCTTACAGGCTGGACAACACAATACCGAGAGCTGGATCTGGCCCATGGGCTTGGGGTTGAGCACCCTTCCTACACCCATACAGCATGGGTTTGGGAGGCAATGTACACTCATGAAGCCAACGAGGGTTATGGATTTCTAGCACCTTTGAAGATCAAGCTCAAGACTGTATCCCCAGTTTGGGGATACAAAACTTGGGGGGTACAGAACTTGGGGTACACAAGATAAATGGCTACATACAAAAAAGGCCAAAGTATTTAATGTCTTTTTTACTTCAGCCTTCACAAATAGGGGCAGCTACCACATGACTACAGTAGTTAGCAGCAATGATAAGGGAGGAGACAAACAACTTAGAATAGTGGAAGAACAGGTTAGGGATTATTTAAGAAAGCAGATCCTTTCAAGTCAGCAAAGCCTGATGGGATATACCCTAGAGTACTGAAGGAATAAGATGAAATAATTTCATAGCCATTGGCTATCCTTTTTGAGAACTTGTGGAGGATGAGTGAGGTCCCAGATGGTTGGAAAAGGGTAAGCATAGTACCCATCTTTAAGAAAGGGGAATTACAGACCAGCCAGCCTAACCTCCACTTTGGAGGAATGTCTAAAGAACTAGAGTTATCTAGTCTGAAGAAGAGAAAACTGAAGAGACATCTGATAGCCATCTTCCAATACCTGAAGGGTGATTATAGAGAGGATGGCAATAGGCTTTTCTCTGTAGTTACAGGGGACAGGACTAGAAGCAACAGCTTCAAGCTGCAGCAGGGGAAATGTAAATTGGAGATTAAGAGGAACTTTATGACTATGATACTGGTTAAGCACTGGAACAAGCTATGCAGAGAAGCTGTGGAGTCTCCATCCCTGGAAATTTTCAAGAGCAGGTTAGGCAGATGGTCTGTCCTGCCTTGAGCCAGGGGCTGAACTAGATGATGTCGTGATAGCCCTTCCAGCCCTATTTTCCTTTGATCCTATGACCTGCCTATGTTGGTTTAAGAGTCAGGTTAGGTTGCTGTCAGATTAGGAACAGAAGCCCCAAGTTTACCCTGGATTTAAAATGACCCCCAATAATTAGATTCTATACATGGACAATTTATAAAATTTGTTATAATCTAATTATTGGAGGATCATCTTTAATTTGCCCCCCACTGCTGCAGGGGGGCAGGTAGTGGAGGGGAGCAGGTGGTGTGGGGAGGTCAGGCAGCTTGTACTTTGCTGCCTTGCTGCCTGCCTCCCCATAGCCTCTGGACCCTCCCTTCCCCCCACAGCCTCTGTTCCCTGCCTGCCCCTCTTCTACCACCAGGTGCGGTAGGCAGGGAGCAGAAGCTGATAGGGGAAGAGATGGTGTTGGGGAAGAGGCTGTAGAGGGGAGGAGCATCAAGGGGGTTCAGAGGCAGTGGGGGGCAGGCAGCGGTTACAACTCTGGCCCCAGCCCTGGGTCAGGGCTGGAGCTGGAGCCGTGGCACCTGCCTGTCCCCCCGATCCCCCAGCTACATTGTATTCTATTGCAAGATGAGGGGCTTTCCCCCCAGGTTAAATGGGGGAAAAAAACTAATCTTGGAAACAATTACAAAGGGTAAATAAGAGCTGAACTGAACAATAGCACTTGGAAGGAAGTGTCTAAGAGCCACAGTCCTTCCTCTGACAGCTCTCTAATACACCATCAAGGGATAATGCCCATTAGCAATACATGGTTTAAAGAACTGAGATCCTCACCAGGGATCCTGGTTTTCTCTGATTTAAAACAAATCCCCAATTTTCAGTTTAAAAAGTAACTCCAAATCCACATTTTCCATGTTTAAAATCTATCTATCTATCTATAGTAGTGTTTCATTTAAATCATGGAAAAATGTGGATTTTGGGTTACTTTTTTTAACTGAAATTTTAAATCAGAGAAAACCAGGATCTCTGATCATCACGTGCCTGTTTACTGGTCATGGAGCTCTCCTGGCTCCACTTCGTGAAAGCTCTCAGCCCGGTATCCTCAACAACAGAGAAGAGTATCAGTACAGCCCAGGGAACTGACCCAGGGGACACTGGGAGGCTCAGTGTTCAAATTACATTAATGTGGAATTGCCATGGAGAACGGTCATGACTTTGCATGTCAGTCAGAATGGAGGTGGGGAGCGAAGTCCAGAAGGGCAGTCGGAGCTGCCAGCATTGCAGTACATTCCAGAGAGGACAGTTTTCAACCCTGGAAGAAGCCAGCAGTCCAAGAGCCAGCTCCACTTGGCAGGGCTTCCCTTATGGTTTCCTCATAGCCTCAAGCACCGGATCTGGGTCCCAATTTTCCTACACG